GCCCACAGAAGGCTGATTGTGTTTTTACTAGAGCCAGTAGGGAAAGAATCACTTCTCCAAAAGAATGGGGTATTCTGCCCAGAGTAAAGGCAGGGTACTAGGCAGTCAAGACAAACAGATATCCTGCACTCTAGGAAAACAGATCTTTTTTTTTAAACAAATGTTTCATTTTGAAATAATTTCAAACTCACAGAAGAGTTGCAAGAATAGCACAAAAAATGCCGATTTGTCTATCAGAGACATCCCCCAGTTGTTAACGTTTTGCCACATTTGCGCACACACATACTCTCTCTTTCTCCTTCCTTTCTGCCAATAAGTGATAGTTTTCCCTGAGCCATTTGAAATTAAGTTATGCTGTTTATCCCTAAATATTTCACTGAATACTTTTTAGGATCAAGGACACCCCTTATATAAATACAGTGGTCATATTCAGACGATTTAGCATTGAATCCATGACTTTGTCTACTACGCAATCGAGTTGGACCGAGAATGCCCTTTATAGCAACTTCTCCTCTTGATCCAAGACAGTGCACTGCATTCAGTTACGACTTTCTTCTCCTTTGCTCTGGAACTGTTTTCAGCCTTTTTGGCATTCATTACATTGACATCGTTAAAGAGTATGGGCCAGATGTTTTATAGAATACCCCTCGGTTTGGGTTCATCTCATGGTTCCTCATGATTATATGTAGTGATGTATTTGGGGCAGGAATACTACCCAGTGGTATGCTGGAGCCAACTAGTACTAGCTATGAGAGCCGATTCTCACATCCCTTCCCAGCGCCATGTTCTGTGATGTCATATTGGTAGCTTGCAATCAGCCAAGGAGGGAGTATTTACACCATGGAAATCTACAAATGCAACAAATCAGCCCCCCCACTCAAACCCCACGTAGTGTTTGTGAAGCACTTGTACTTACAGCACAGCTGTGCAAGTGAGCCTACGTCCTCAGTGCCACCATCGGGAGGCACCTGATGCTGGTCTGTCCAGTTATTGGTGATATTTTATTCCTTGGTTAAGACAGTATTTCTCAGGTTTTAATTCCCCTTTGTAATTAATTTTCCCCTACAGCAAGATCCTTTGAGATTATGTAAATATCCTGTCCTGTTTCTCATCTAACTTTGACCCAGTAGTTTTTATCTATTGAAGTCTTTGAACCAACTAGTACTCTAATTGTTGCAAGTGGTAGGTAATTTTCTATTTCTTTCATTTATTTCACATTTATCCATTGATGTTCTACAAGTTAATTTTTTTTGTAGACTTAACCCTAAAATAGATAGGTAATTAGTAATAGACTTGGATGCAAATTGTGGTCTTCCAACAGTTTGTCAAGTAGTTCTAAATCCTAAGTATCTGTGACCAAGTTTTTAGTGCTCATTACTATTAGTGCAGCACACGTTTCCCTGGAGACCATCGCTATAGAAAAAGCAGACTGAGTGTTCAGAAATAGTTTTCCCATTCTGCTATGACTACGTCTGATGATGATGACATATTGTCCCACCAACAGTGGAGGTGGCATTTGGAGTCACTCTTCCAAACTGCCCGATTCCAGTGTCCACCTAAGTCTGTCTTAAGAAAACTCCCAGTGCGATGCTTTCACTGGTCATAGCGAGGTAACCGGTGCATGGCAGAGTGGGAGGAGCACTGGCCAGGCGTTCAGGGTCAGCATCTGCTATGGGACTGGGCCATGCACTGAGGACCATGTCCCTGTGGAGGGTCATCCTCTGTAAAATCACAAGAGTCATAATTTCACTGAATTCACTCCCAAATTCTAAAACTTTCTTTTACTCTGTTCTCCTACTTGGGAAGCAAAAACCTAGAGTTCACCTCATTAGCAAGATGTCTCGATCAACTGAGTCAATGAGCCAAGGACAAAAAGAAGGTGTTCAATGTGGAGCCTGAACCCAGTGACCCAGTGATTGAATCCATAGTCCAGTTAAATTAGCCATGAGGGTATAGCACCAGGACCTGATACTGTTTCATAAGAACTCTGTGCATTCAGCCACATAGTCTGACTGACTTCTCTGCTTCTCTTTGTTTATCCTGACAGTCATATAAACCCACTGAAGGATCCCATTACCTCTTTTGGAGGAGATCCACTTCTCAAGTGTTAGCTTGCCTGGTACCTATAAGGTTACCTCTGTTGCCATGGTTGTAAGTAAAGGAAATATTCTGTCCTAGGGAAGACTGCAGTTTCTGAAGAACTTGTACACTTCAGGCATGAAATTCTAACCATTCAGTATAAGTCTTAAAAAAATTTCACCATGTGAAATTGCTGAGAACAAGGCAAATAGTATTATTCCTGGTTGATCCATGGTTTGGTGAATTCCACACAAAAATAATAGGTTGCCTTGAATTTCCAGAACAGAGGTTACTGGAGGGTGAGGTGGGGGCTGAGGTGTGTAAAAGAATGTGGGGCTCTGCCAACTGATGCTTCCTCTCCTCCCTGGATTTTGATAGGCCCACCCCCCCACCGCCACCCACCTCCCCAGACTTGTGTGGGGCACTGTGGAGGGACAGGTCCAGCGGTGAGTGGCGTGGTGGCCTCCCCACTCCTCTGGAGCTGGCTGCGCCTGGCACCCTCACCCCCCAGCTCCACGTATCAGCATTTAACATTTAATGGCTCCTAAAGTAGAGAACCACTTGGCAGCATTCTTAAGAGTATCTAGGTCTTTTTATCTGCTAAACTTACATTTGCTAAATTGAAAAGTCGATGTCTAAAATACTGTTTGGATGACTCACCCAAGGTTCTGCTGAGGCAAAGGGGGTGGGGTTCATGGGGTGTCAAAGAAGCTCGCAAATATTTTCAAAATATTTTATTCAGCTTTATTTTAATACCTTCAAATAATCCCCTTTTTCTCTTCTCTCAGATTTTAAGATGAATTTGACTTTAACTTTGAGTTTCAGCCTAATTTCAAATTCAAAGGTGTTTTAGAATCTCCTCTCCTCCCCCTCTCGCTCTACACGAGTTTCTGTTACTTTGAAAGTAAGGAATTTAACCTTTCTAAAACTTAGTCTTGATCAACACCCACCTCACCTGTTGGGTTAACGCTCCATCATCATTCACCAGACTAGAAAACCACTGTCTCTGGCCTGAAAGCCAGGACCACGCACTCCTACCAGCAGCCTGTCCTGTCTGGGGTTGTGTGATCGGTTTCTAGAGATTACAGGCGAGCTCTGAATTCCAGGGCCCGGCCTCAGTCTGTGAAACAGAAAATCTTGAGGCAGATTCACTGCCTCAGGTTTCAGGACACTTAGATGTTGGTGAGTGAAGTTAATTTGCGTTCATTTCGTAATACAAGAGAAACATGGATGATTATCACTGCTGACGTTGTCATGTTCTGGGTGTGTGGTTTATTTCACTGTGTAGCTCTAGTCTGGCTTTGGTACTGAGAACCCCAGTGAAATCATGCAGAAACCCAAGAGAAAAGCATCATTCTTCCAGAAATCCTCACTGCTTCTGCAAACCCACCGAGTGGGCATTGATTTCGAGCTATTTCCTCACCCGTGACACACTCGGTGTCACTGGAGACCCCACCTCCTGGTCTCTCAGTGGGGAGAGCGAGCAGGGCGACTGGGGGAGGCCCCTGTCATTAGACACCGCCTTCAGGGACTCATTTATACAGGGCCCGGGCAAGGGGTGGGTGACGGAGAATTGATTTTACGTGTGTACATGCTTAAAGCTAGAATATCGCCAAAAAAGTTTTTTTAGAGATTTTTCTAAACCATGTATTGTTGCAATATATTATGTAATGCAAGACAATATTTACATATATCACTATATTTAACAAAATAAATAGAAGTTCATTTGAGTATTATCAATAGAAGCAACCTCCTCCCCCCCCCCCCCCCCAAGACACTTATGCATCCCAACCAGGCTATTGAAAAAGTACTTCTGGCCCTGGCCGGTTACGCCCAGCGGTTAGAGCGCTGGCCCGCTGACCAGAGAGTCCCGGGTTTGGTTTCCACTAAGGGCACGTACCTCGGTTGCAGTTTGTCCCCGACCCTGGTTGGGATCGTGTGGGTGGCAGACACAATGATGTGTCTCTCTCACATTGATGTTTTGATGTTTCTCTCTCTCTCCCTTTCTCCCTCTCACTCTATTTGAAAATGAATGCAAAAAGAAAAAAGAAAAAGCCTTTCTGTTAACCAAATCCCAGAACTCCCAGAATGAAAAAACAAAATAATGGAAAAATGATAAATTAGAGCTTATCAAACTTTAATATAAAGCAAACTTCAATTTTAGTCTTTTAAGCATTTGCTGTAACTGCTTTTTAAAAAAATCCTCACCTGAGGATATATTTATTGATTTTAGAGACAGGAATGGGGAGAGAGAGAGAAGTATCAGTCTGTTTCCTCCCACACATGCCCCAACTGGGGACCAAACCCACAACCTAGGTATGTGCCCTGACCCAGAATTGAACCCAAGACCTTTCCACGCACCAGCCGATGCTCCAACCAATTGAGCCAGACCAGCCAGGGCTGATATAACTGATTTTTAAGGCTTTACATTTTATCTATAATGGTAGAAATATTAATTCAATAGTGTATCATTATCACAGAAGTGAATTTATATTTTTAATAATATTTGTATTGTGTATATACCAAATTAGCATGCTATGACACAGAGAAAAAAAATATTCTCAGGAAAACACCGAACTAATCTAAGAAAATCTTTAGTTTAAAAATGAACTTGTAGAGATCAAAATTATTCTTTTAGAAGTTGTCCGAATTTTCAGCCTCCAAGTCCCTTCCAGAGTGCTCTCTAAACAAAGTCCCACAGCTAATTAACACACACACACTCACACACACTCTCTCACAGGCTCACAATGTGGCTTCCTCCGAACCCGGAGGCGCCTCTGCACGCCCCCCTCCCTTTTCACACAATGGTATGATCTGCATTTGATCGCACTCGGAGGTGCCAAGCCGCGACAGCCTCCCAGCTCCACAGCCATTTGCTGCCACCGAGCGCCCAGCTCACTGTGCTTTCTTTCCCACAACAGGGGCAAATCGAAGTGGACAGTGAAACGGTCTTCAAGTTGGCAGCGCTGGTTCTGCAGGTAAGAGCCGGGCCACCGCTCCTTCGGTTTGTTGGTGTTTGTGAACTGCCTGCAACTCTGAAACTTTGGCATGGGCCAGTGGCTGGTGGATGTTTAAGCCAGCTGGTTGTTTGCCAATGAAAAACGTGAGCCACTGTTTTCTGTTTTAGAGTAGTTTGCATGAGCTGCTGAGCGGTTGTGTATCTCCAAGGAAAAGGGCATTCCCACTGCTCTGAGGGGAGAGTTGAGGCCGGGCTCCCGGAGAGGAGCTCTGGGGGACCGGACTTCGGAGGCAGCCCTTGTTAGGAGCGCTGTAATTTTCCTTTAAATTGGGTAACTTCTGTATACATTTTCTTGAGGTTGGGTTAAAGATCCCTTTAATTCTTAAAGGCACTGGTAGCTAAAAAACCAGGTGTGTCCCATGCTGTTTTAAAGAGTAAAGAATGTGTTGGTTCACCTGTGTGTTGGTTCACCTGTGTCATGGTTTAAAAGGTGTGCCGCTCCAATAGACAAGCATGTATCACGCGCTCTTAGAAACATAAAAGGAGAAGTAATCATCTGTGTTTTTAAAGATATATTTGTCTCTTCTGTTAAGAATAAGAATTATTTTATGGCTACCAGCATTTTCTTATCCATTCCCCATGCTGGTAGGGAAGGTGTCCCTTGGGTACATTCTTCAAAACAAAACAAAACTCAGGAACTAAGAGGGTTAACTGATCAAGAGTAAAATTATTTAGCTTGATTAGCATAAATACACATCAATCATCTATCTTTGTTTTCTATTCCAGGAAGCCAAAGGGGATCACACCAGGTACAGTGGTTTCTTTTCTGATATTACCATGAGTCTTTTTATGCTATTTTAAATAACAATGGATGCAAAATCCAAAGAAAGTAGATCCCCAGGCATGAGACTGAGACCCGTCCCCCTTCAAGTAGAGACCTATTCTTTTTGTGAATAAATCCAGCAATGAAGCTTTCTTACAACTTTTCAGACCAGAGTGACTGAATTATAGTCAGCCCTCAAAGTTCTGTTTTCTGCCATCTGTTAACAGGACGAAGAAATCTATAAAAAGCTTTGGTAGCCTGTGCTGAATGTTTTAAACTTACAATAATCCTGTGTTTGAAGAGTTCTGCTATAAACACGGGAAGATTACAACTATCAGCTGCTTAGTTAAGGGATTAATAGGGGCTTTCTTTCTGCAGCTGCCTTGAAGGGGCCTCACCCTTCATACACTTGACCTAACAGTTGTGTTGTTGCCCCTGAGACTCTTACGGGTTCCAACTGCGTAACTGGCCCCATCATCAGAGAGTGTTTATATTGGAATTTAGCCTCTACCTGCTCCATTCTGTCCTTTTACTGCGATCGTTGTAGTTAGATAAGTGGAAACCGGTCCAAGTGGCAAAGCCCCACTGAAGACCCCGCCTCTGCCGTGTTAATGTCCAACTCCCCTAAACACCAGCCGCAGATGATTCCAGCCTGTGAGTGTGTGCTCCTGGCGCACTGGTGACAAGTGAGTGCCTCCAGCCTGAGAACTTGCAGTCCGGGGCCACGCTTCACTCCCCCCCACCCCCTCCTCCCCTGCGCCCTCCGTCTGGTAGGTGACCTGGTAGGTGACGGAGGCGTCCAGGTCACACGCTGTGATCCGCTTACTGCATCTCCTATGAGCTCCATTTGTGCTATATTATTTTTCCAAATTGGTTTAGGTTAGGGAATACGTTGGAAGGAATTATAAAAATCAATAAACACCATTTCCATAATTAAAAGAAAATGTCAGGAGATAAGATGAGGACAAATTAGTTTCTGGATCATCAACGTCAAGAATGGCTGTGTCCTCCCTGGGGTCTGTCCTGGAGGAGCCAAGCTTCCTGGGAGGATCAGATATGTGAGGAATGCCCTCCTGTTGTCCTGTCCTCTTGTAGGGGTCCTGTGGGGGTCCGCAGTCATTCACAAACCAGGGCCCCAGGGCCAGCAGCTCACACTGCCATCCGGATGGCTAGCCCGCCCTCCCCACGTCCTCCCAGGCCCCGTGTGTGGAACCCCTCCCCGCATCTCCTCACCAGACGACACCTTGGGACCCTGCGTGTGTGATCACTGGCCGGGGCAGTGTCCGGCATACACTTCCGATATTATTATTTATATTACAGTATCATTATTGCCCTCATGATTATCATCATCCTGTCCTGTCTCTTGGCAACCCCTGAAGAGACTTTTGGGACTAAGGTGGGTCTGGAGAAGCCATAATAACGTGCCAGGGGAAAGCACAGAAGAGAAAGGTTGATCCCACCAACTTTCCTGCCTGTGGCAGAACAAGGCTCAGAAGGAACGTCCCTATGACAGCTCAGACCTTCAAGCCCTAAGACTTCAAGGTCAGCGAGTCCAAACCAGTCAGTTTCCTTCACTCCTGCTCGGTCCTGGTGGGGTCCTGAGTGATTACTAGGCTGAAGAAATGAAGGCACAGTTTTAAAATTGTCTAAATCATGCTGACCAGTAGGAGCAAGGGACTGCGACTCCAGAAATCAGCATCACACCCCAGAGGGAGCCACTTGTCCTTTCTGGGCCTTGGTTTCCTCATCTGTAAATTCGGATGAATGAAAATAGCAACTTTTCAAGGTGGTTTTGAGGAGACGAATGATGTGGAAGGACTTTGCAAATTATAAGGTCTTTTACAAGCATTAGAGAAAATTGGAAATGTGAACTCTGACACTGAGTTTATAATGAAGCAGAATTTTGGTTGCTACCACCCTCGTCCTATCTGGTCTCCTCCCCGAAATGGAGAAGATATATTTTATCTCCAAAGTTTTGTTATAAAACTAATTTTAAAAAATCAGGCGGTTAGAGCATAGGTGCTAAAACCAGACAGCCTCACTGAATCCCAGGTCTGCCACTGGTTACCTGTGTAATCTTGAGCAAGTTATTTAAACTCTCCAAGCCTCAGTTTCCTCATCTATAAAATGGGACTTATGTTATTAGTATAATCCCCATCGATTGCTATGAGGATTAAATGGATTAAAATTTACAGAGTGCTAAAAACAATCCCTGCATTTGGACATGATTTACCACTCCTCTGTTATTTCACATACAAACTGGTTCTCATATTCAGCTAATATGAGTAATGCTTCAGTGAACAACTTTGTGTAGTTGGGATTGTGGTTGTCTGTGATTGTTTTCTAAGTGATATTTCTTGGGTGGGAGCAAGCAAAGGGAAATTCCTGAAAGGAAGCAAAGTGCTGAGATGAAATGGATTCATCCTTGATACCACTAAAGTGAAATTATACGAAGTTTTATAGCTCTTCCAGTAACATCTGCGGCCTGAGCTGGGTCGGCATCAGCCTGGGCTCTGGGGACACAGAGCCACGGGCAGGGCCTTCCTCCCAGAGAATTTGGCTTTCTCGCTAGGAAGACCTGGGAGCAGGTTTAAATTCCACCTCATTCTTGTTCACGTGGTGTCTGCAACTTTTGGCTTTTAGAACTTCATTGAGATTACTTTGAGTTTTAAACATAGACCAGAAGATCTCAAATACGTCCCTAGATCAGGACAGTCCGGCTTTTTCCACTGGAACAAATCGAACACCTAAGTCACAAGGCTGCTCTGACCTACCCCACCCCCTTCTTGTGAATATCTCTGTCGTCCTCAAATTCTGTATTTCCAAAGCTGAACTAATCAGCATCCAGCCCCAGCCTTCTACTTCCGCCCTCGAAGAACATCAGCATCCTCTCCAGATCGTCTCTAAGGACTGCCCTTCCACCCTTCCTTCCTTTTCTCCACCTCTTAGCTCCCTTCTTTAGTCCTTTTTATCAAACCCCAGGCTGCTCAGACAGTTTCCTTCTCCCAGCCTAACCATAAGAGTATGTGTGTACATCGTTCATTCAATCCCATTATAACTGTTATCAATGCCACTTAACAAATTAATGGATGACAATTGCATTTCTTTTTTTTTTATCCTCACCCGAGGACATTCTTCCATTTTTTTGTTCAGATAGAGTGCGAGGGAGAGAGAGGAAGAGAGAGAGAGAGAGAGACATCGACGTGAAAGGGACACATTGAGTGGCTGCCACCCGCACGACCAACCAGGGCTGGGGACAAACCACAACCGAGGTACATGCCCTTAGCAGGAACCGAACCCGGGTCTCTCAGGACCGCAGGCCGATGCTCTAATTGCTGAGCCAAACCGGCCAGGGCGACAATTGCATTTCTAAGGCACTTTGCCACATGAGTTCCCAGATCAGTTCTGATCCAGTCGCACACTACCCCCTGCACATGGCCCAGGTTAGCTTCCTAAGACGTTGTAAACTTGATCTTTGCTGTTGATTCCAATGTCTTCCAGTTTCTCATTGCACAGATCCGCCCTCCAACACCCTGACCTGGATCCCAGGCTCTACTTAATCTGCACTGTCCTTTTCATTTCCCTATTCTCCCGTTCATACTCCCTGAGACCTGTTTCTGTCCCTTCTCTTCCGCCACATGCCCTGTGTTTTGCCTTCGTGGCTCTGCCCAACCCCTCTTCCTAGAACACCCTTAACAGGACTCTGCTCCCATTCTTACTCTGCTTCCTGCCATGTTTCCTTAGGAGTATTTTAAGCTATTATCATAACCAGTAGGAAGCCTGCTCTCTGAAAGTTCATTCAAATAGTGGAGTGGGGACTTCCATTTTCTTTAAATAGTTAACAGTCTGAGTTTCCAAGTCAGCCCTAAGCTGCTAAGATAACAAGCTACTTGGGTAACACAACACAGACAAACAGAAAGAATTCCTGAAAGCTGACTCGGCAAGGAGAGAGGCTTTATCCTGAGCAGCCACAGACGAGCTGGTGAAAACCAAGCACATTTCCTCCCTCCCTCCCTCCCTCCCTCCCTCCCTTCTCCTCTGTCTCTCTCTCTCTCTCTTCCTTTTTCTTTCTTCCTTGCTTGCTTTTTTCTCTTCCTCCCCCACCCCCTCCTCCACATCCTGAAAGGTGGATGTTACCAAGGAACTGTAGTTAGGGCACTTCTGCGCATGAGAAAAAGGAAGTGACTGCAATGTACAGTTCAGTGCTGGGCAGAACAGGAGCATGTCGTCTCATCTATGATGTCATGCATGACACGCAGGAACCCAGCTTCAGGGCCGAGCTCACCCGGGGCGCTGTGCCACCAGCTGCAGCTTTCCCGGGAAGGGGCCTCATGCAGGGAGGGCAGCAAAGACTTTGAGGCACTCCCCCCCCCCCCCCCCCCGGGTCCTGACACCTCTGGACCACTCAACACTCCAAGATGTCATTCCATTCCGGGCCCTGAAAATCAGTGACAAGAGCACCCAGGGCCTGGCGCGCTGGCCTGGGGCGGGGCCGTAGTGAAGGCAGGAGCTCTGCCCTACCTGCCGCCTGGCTGTGTAAGTGGCCGCTGCCCTCTCTGGAACTCAGTCTTTGTCTCTAAATGTTACATGGTGTTGTTATTACTAATATCTTTGACCTTCACACCCGCCTGTGACAACAGGCGCTTAGTGTCCAGACGGGCTGAGCTGCGCAGCTGGTGAGTAGGTCACTGTCCAGGTCCCCCAGCCACAGTGGCAGCAACAGGGCCCCAAGCCTCGTGCTTTGGGCACAGGAGTCTCCGTTTTTGTATTTCAGCAAAAGCTTGGAACAATGATTCCCTTCCTTGCTGACAGAACAAAGAAACCTGACTTGACAGAAATGGACTGTTTCTGTCTTATTTCAGGCCAGGGCTTTAATGAAAAAATTGTTGCGAAATGGCTTTTGTCTCTCCCTGTGAAGCGAGTCTGTGAAGAATGGGCTGAAAGATACAGACAAGCTCTCTTGTGAATCAGTTCGTCGCATGTGTA